GCCCACTAAGCAGACTCTTGCCAAGGCCGGCATCGCCAGCTCAGAAGTTAGATACTCTGCTCCGATCAAGCGTAACACGAATGCGCTGGAGAGCACCTTGACCCTTGCTGGTACGCTGTGGTCATACGGCCATGCCATCGACTGGGCGAAGGTCAACGGACTCCAGACATCCTGGAAATCTTCTCAGCCGCTGTACCGTGTCGTAACAGACCTCCCGCCATATCGGTTCACTTATGAGAACACACTGTGGGTGGAGAGCCGTGCCAGTATCGAATACCGCCAGCGCAAGTATCCTCGCCACGAGCTCTTGGGTTCTCTGGTGCCCGGCGGAAGCGGCAAAGATCTCATCTTCCGTAATGTTCTCAAGGTTGGGGACGTGTCTTGGCTGAAGGACCATAGGCTTGAGGAGACTGTTGTTTTCCCCGGAACTGGATACCTCTGCACGGCCATGGAGGCCATCATGCAAGCCACTGGCACAGACAGCGGTGCCAACCCTTCATTCCGTTTCGAGAATGTCAACGTTATGAACGCTTTGGCATTGTCCACGGATCAGTCGGCCTCGGTTGAACTGTTCACCTCATTGAGCAAGTCCAACCTGACCAACACGGCCACGTCGTCTACCTGGTGGGACTTTAGCATCTCTACCTACCAAGATGGCACTGCCATTCCTCACGCCAAGGGTTCCATTGCCATCAGGATCGGAGATGTTTCCCTGGAAACCAAGTATCAGGCGCCAGCCGACAGCCTTGAGCCATCTGCCAAGCGCACCTGGTACGAGAAGTTTGTCAAGACAGGCCTGAACTACGGCCCCGAGTTCCAGACCATCACTGAGTTCCAACCGCCACGCATGAAGGCAAGCCATTACTGCGGCGCAAAGCTGCCGCTGCTAAGGGTAAACGGAGATCCCACAACGGTATATCCGGTGCACCCCATCACCCTCGATGGCATCATTCAGCTTGCCGTCGTAGCGGCAACGAGCGGCAAGCCCAAAGAGCTTCGGTCTCAGATCCCCACCAGAATCGGATCCTTCATTGTGAACACACCCAAAGTGCCATCAGGCGAGGAATGTCAGGTCAACTCGCTTGTACAGGTCACCGGCTTTGGCTCGGTTATGGCTGGCGCCGAAATCGTTGATGCCCAGGGCAATATTGTGGTGCAGTATGAGAATCTCAAGCTGGAGCCTTACCAGGCTGGCGGCCCGGGTGACGATGATAAGCGACATCCTGTGCTGCGAGTGCTGTGGAAGCCGGATGTGTACGGTGTTGGTCTCATTTCCAGCAAGGATGCTGAGAAGCATGTTCAAAAGTTCGCCGACGAAGCGCACTCGCCGGTTGAGGACGATGGCTTGCTTAAGCTTGGAGCCATGCTCGACTTGCTTGTGCACAAGAATCCAAGAATCCGAGTTCTCGAGCTTGACAACGACGTGCATGACTTGACATTGGCCGTGTTGGATCTCCTCTCGTCGCGGGGCGACTTCAAGAGGCTCGCATCTTATCACACCGCTTCTTTCACCGACGACGGCGCTAAGCTGTCTGGTGGCGCTGTTGAGCTGGAGACTGGAGAGCGTTCGACCAAGGCTGGGGATTTGGAGGAGAAGGCATTTGATCTCGTCATCATTCCTGGGGTCGCATCCCACGTCAAGAATGGCCTTGATAAGATCAAAAAGCTGCTCACTGAAGACGCAACCATCCTGGCCCTCTGCCCGGAGACCACAAGCAGAATCTTTACCTCCAGCGATTTGCCGAGTCTGGTCGTGCCTGTGAGACAAGGAAAGGCGGCAATTGTTGTGGCCCGCCAGGCAACCAAGTCAAACAAGGATGCGCTGCAGAAGCGCAATTTCCTGATTGTCGAGCGAGAGAAGTCCCAGCTTGGTTCGGCTCTGCAGGACGTGCTCAGGCCCGTTCAAGGCCACTGGGTCAAGCGTGTCAAGCTTTCCGATCTCACTGCGGAGCATTTCGGGGAAGGCACGACCGTCTTCAATCTCGCTGAAGTGCGCGAGCCGCTTCTTTCCACCATATCCGATGACGACATGGCCAAGGTCAAGCTTATCACTGATAAGTCCACAGCCATTGTGTGGGTCACCAGCGGCAACACGCTCGAGGGAGGCCATCCCGACTTTGCTCTAGTGTCTGGCCTGGCCAGATCACTCGTCCTGGAGCAGCCGTCGCTCAAGTTCTACACATACGACATTGACAAGCCACAGGAAGATGTCGACGTTACTGCTGAGCGACTCGTCAATGTGCTCAACCAGAAGAGCAAGGTCAGCGATCTCGAGTTTGTGCAGCACAAGGGCGTCGTCCACATCAGCCGCTTCATTCCCGATGATGGCATCAACACCACTTTCCGCGCCAAGCAGGGCCTCGAGACCATCGTGTCCAAGCTGAGCGATGCCGGCGACGTGCGTCTGAGCATTCAACACCCCGGCCAGTTCGATACCCTCTACTTTAAGCAGCAGGAGCCACCCACCACCATCGCACCTACCCATATTCGCATCAAGGTTGCCTCGGTGGGCATGAACGCCAAGGACTTTTATGTCCTAGCCGGGCGAGTCGACACTCTCGATGCCACCTGCCAGCTCGAGTGCGCTGGCACTGTTGAGCAGGTCGGCTCAGCCGTCACTAACTTTGCAGTTGGCGACCGCGTTGTCGCCATGGCGCCCACGCACTTCCAGACATACCAGACCCTGCCCCAATGGGCCTGCCATAAGCTCTTGGACGAGGAGAACTTTGATGTTGCTGCCACCCTTCCCCTTGTTTATGTCACTGCCATTTATGCCCTGCACTATCGCGCTAACATCCAGTCCGGAGAGTCCATTTTGATACATTCTGGTGCTGGCGGTGTTGGTATCGCAGCCATTCAGCTGGCCAAGCAGGCTGGTGCCGAGGTAACAGACCCTCATAACCTCCAACTGAGTACAAATGCTAACATCGTAAAACCACTGTAGATCTTCACCACCGTCTCGACTGAACAAAAGAAGCACTATCTCATCGACACCTTTGGCCTTAAGCCGGAAAACATCTTCAGCTCCCGTGACACATCATTTCTTGAGGGCATCCTTAAGGCCACCTCCGGTCGTGGCGTTGATGTCATCCTCAACTCCCTGACGGGCGACCAGTTGCACGCCACATGGCGCTGCTCGGCCCAGTTTGGTCGCTTTGTGGAGATTGGCAAGCTGGATCTCACCACCGCCGGCCGTCTCGAGATGGACCAGTTCCTCAAGAACACCACTTTCACTGCCTTTGATCTGAGCGGTCTCTACAACACCGACAACGAGAGTTACCATGCCCTCTGGGCCAAGCTTCTCGCTGAGGCCATGGCGCTTTACCGCGCCGGCAAGATCACAAAGTTTGAGCCGCTCAAGATCTTTGATATTAGCGAAGTCACGCAGGCGTTCCGCTACTTCCCCTCCCGCAACAGGATGGGTAAGGTGGCTATCAACCTGGAGAATGCCAACTCCACCATCAATATCCAGCAGCTCAAGCACCACTCTCGATTTGACAGTAACAAGAGCTACATCATGGTTGGATGCTTGGGAGGTCTCGGACGAACCCTCGCCCGATGGATGTTGCAGCGTGGCGCTAGGAAGTTTGTCTTCCTTGGTCGCTCTGGAATTGCCAAGGCGGCAGCGCGTAATCTGGTGGAGGACCTCAACGCCTCTGGTGCCGAGTGCGTGGTTGTCAAGGGTGATGTTTGCAGCCCCAAGGATGTCGCCGCGGTTGTAGACGCAGCCGAAGGAGATATTGGCGGTGTTGTGCAGGCTGCCATGGGTCTCAACGTAAGTTATCCCTTGCCTATGCCCTATAAACCAGTCTTGTACTTCAGGCTAACAGAGATGATAGGAGGCCATCTTTTCCAGCATGCCCAATGAGTGGTGGCACACGGGCATCGATCCCAAGGTGCAAGGAACCTGGCATCTATACAATAGCCTGCGCGCCTCGGGACGCGACTCCAAGCTCGACTTTTTCCTACTGACCTCGTCCATCTCGGGCAGCGTCGGCACTGCGACCGAGTCTAACTACTGCGCTGCTAACCACGTGCTCGACCACTTTGCCCGCTTCATGCGTAGGCAGGGCATCCCCGCCATCTCTATCGGCCTGGGCATGATTTCCGAGGTCGGCTACCTGCACGACAACCCCGAGATCGAAGCTCTTCTGCTGCGCAAGGGCATCCAAGCCATCGACGCCGACGAGCTGATCCAGCTCACCGACCTCGCCTTCGCTTCCAGCGCCACCATGGGCATTCACCACCCCCACGACGTGCTCGCCGCCTCGCACATGCTGACGGGCATGGAGGCATTCGGCATGAAGGAGCTGATCAAGAAGGGCTTTGACGGCACCAACAACCCTGCGTGGATGGACCCTCGCGCCAACCTGCTCGCGGCCGCGCTGGACGAGAGCGCCGGTGTGGGCGGCGGGGCCCAGGACGGAAACCTGCCCGCGGACGTGGTGAAGGGTATGGAGGCCGGCCAGACGCTCTCCGAGGCGGTGCTGGACTTTATCCGTCGCAGGTTTGGAAATTTGGTGTTGATGAAGTACGAGGCGGTCGATGTGAAGAAGCATCTGGCTGATTATGGCATGGATAGTATGATTGCGGCGGAGTTTAGGACGTGGTTCTACCAGAGCATGGCAGTTGATGTGCCGCTGTTTATGCTGCTGGGGAAGACGACGAACTTGGAGACTCTGAGAGACACTGCGGTTGTTGGGTTGGAGAAGCTGGGTGAGGAATAGAATCAGAAATAGGGGGTTATGGGATATTTGGGGATTACGGGTAGGGAGGGCCTGAACTTCGAACTGGCTTTGTTTTGTTTCTTTTTAAGTCAATTGTATTAGTGTTAGTGCTGGTCGAATATTGTTGATTGCTACCTACATTATGGTTATTTTAAGTTAGTATACGATGTAGCTAATGAGTTATGTCAATGAACTTTTTTAGATTTATAAATGGATGAACGTAAAAAAAAAGTGTGCGAATTAAAGGTGGTTGGTTGCTAGGGAACAAAAATATGGACGTACCGCGGATCGAACGCGGGACCGTCTGTAGGAGCAAGCATTTTGAGGCGTTGCAAAACAGAAATCATACCACTAGACCATACGCCCTAATTCCATGATGTTCGTGGTGGAACAGTTTGTTGAAGACAAGGGCACTGCTAGCATAGCGGACCGCGCACAGCGTCCATACGTTCGGCAAGTTGAAATTGAAAGACTCTGGGCTATCTTGATCATGTGTATAGTGTACAGACTTGAAGCGGATGAAACCGAATCAATATGACGAAATATTCGACTTTCCTGGCGTGTTTGTGATTGACTTTATCACGTGCTGTCGCGTAAGAGCTAATCTGTTTATGCATGTGAGTCGCGCTTTCTTTCGTGGCGGGAGTTATCGGACCTGGCGCTTATCTCTCCGCTCTGGCCATGCCCCGCGGCGGGGTAGGCAGCCACCCACCGCCTGCCTGAAGCAACTCGCTGAACCGGGGTGAGTCAGGCAGCTGACTCGACAGCAGCGAGACGATTTTGACACCGAAAATCGGGGCTAGTGTGTACCAAAAATATTTTTTTCCTTAGCAGAAACGCGGCGCGTTCATCCTCCCTTTTTTTTTTACCAACGTTTTCAACATCTCTCCACACGCTACAACAACCATCGCAACTTCCGGTCAGCCAACGCCAAGATGAAGTTCGTTCTGGTTTCGGGAGGTCAGTCAAGTTAAATTGCCCTGTCTACTCGATGCCCCTATTTTCACAGCAGACAGATCTACCTTTGTACCTCGAGTCTCAGTTCCAACCCCAGGTACAGTCAGAGCAAGCGAGGACAGCAGCAAAATATCGGCATGGACATGCAAGTTGATGGTCATTTAGCTGACAATGCGTTGCTACAGGTGTCATCTCCGGTGTGGGAAAAGGCATCATTGCCTCCAGCACCGGTCTGCTCCTGAAGACGACCGGTCTTACTGTTACGAGCATTAAGGTTCGTGCCACATCTACAACCGCCAAACGAGCCAATTGACCGACCGATCACTGTCTCCGGACCCCGCCTTCTCAAGTACTGACTTTATCTCAGATCGACCCGTACATCAACATCGATGCCGGAACAATGTCCCCCATCGAGTATGCGCCCGCGATTTCCCGATCCTTGTACCATCGACCTGTGTACTGATACATGTCATCTAGGCACGGTGAGGTTTACGTAACAGACGATGGCGGAGAGGTAACTGCCTCTCCTACGCCCCAAGGCGCCCTTCAATCGACCGGCTAACCCTCTTTCGAAGATGGACTTAGATCTTGGCAACTACGAACGCTATCTCCTCACCACCCTCACCCGCGACCACAACATCACGACGGGCAAGATCTACCAGTCGGTGATCTCGGGGGAGCGCCGAGGCGACTATCTCGGCAAGACTGTTCAAGTGTAGGTGACAGTGAATCTGAGAAGGTCAAACTTCTCTAGCTGACATGATTGTGCTCGTAAACAGTGTACCCCACATCACGGACGCCATCCAGGAATGGATCATGCGAGTCGCCCAGATTCCAGTTGATGAGTCCGGCCTGGTGCCCGATGTGTGCGTAATTGAGCTAGGTAAGCCATCTGCACGGAGTGGTGCTCTCGGCCAATCAGTAATAGCGGCTGACGTAAAAAAGGTGGCACTGTGGGAGACATCGAGAGCGCTCCCTTCATCCACGCCCTCAGCCAACTTCAAAGGAAGGCGGGCAAAGGCAACTTTGTCCAGATTCACGTGTCTTACGTGCCCGTAATACCGTAAGCCCATCTCTGCACGTGCGCATCAAGGTGTACATGATCTCTAGCTAAGAACGTAACATAGACCTGGACCTGGTGGCGAGCAGAAGACGAAGCCGACACAGAGAGCTGTGAGCGACGTCCGTAGTGCCGGTCTCAACCCAGATCTGATCGCCTGTCGCTGCGAGCTTCCGCTCGAGGACTTGACTATCCAAAAGATCGCCAACATGTGCCAGGTAGAGCAGAAGCAGGTCATCGCGGTACATAACGTATCAACGACATATCATGTGCCAATGCTTCTCGAGAAGCAGAAGCTTCTTAGCACTCTTGGCGAGCTCTTGAACCTCGATTCTATCCAGAGGCCGAAGTCGCGGATCGAGCAGGGCCGAAGCATGTGGAAGGAATGGGTCGGCCTCACCCGGGGACAAGACCATACCCTCGACACTGTCTCAGTCGCCCTCGTTGGCAAGTATACGTCTCTTCAAGATGCATATACTAGCGTTTCCAAGGCTCTGGAGCATGCAGCCATGTTTTGTGGCAGGAAACTTGAGCTCGTCTGGGTGGACTCATCGCATCTCGAGGACAAGACAAAAGAGGACTCGCCAGCCGAGTTCCACAAGGCCTGGCACTCTGTCTGCACGGCGAATGCGATCCTTGTGCCTGGTGGGTTTGGAGTTCGAGGCACAGAGGGCATGATCAAGGCTATCACATGGGCGCGTACCAAGAATGTGCCCTTCCTTGGTATATGCCTGGGTATGCAATTGGCCGTTATCGAATATGCCAACAATGTGGCCATGATCGACGACGCCGGCAGTGCGGAGTTGAACCCGCATGCTAAGACACACGCAATCGTCTACATGCCTGAGGTATGTCTCTATATTTCTTTTGTTTCTCTGCTTCGCGCACTTGCTAACGGACGTCTCTAGGTTGACAAGGCGAACTTGGGTGGCACCATGCGGCTCGGAAAGCATTCGTGTATCTTCCAGGAGGGCACCGAGTGGTCGAAGCTGCGGGCTCTCTACGGATTGACGCCACAGATCGCCGAGAGACATCGCCACCGTTACGAGGTCAACCCCGAGCTTGTTAACGAGCTTGAGACGGCCGGTCTTACATTTGTCGGAAAGGACACCAAGGGCGAACGTATGGAGGTCATTGAGATCAAGGACCATCCGTGGTTTGTGGCTGTTCAGTTTCACCCCGAGTACCTTAGCCGCGTGCTCTCGCCCAGCAAGTGCTTCCTCGGATTCGTCGCAGCAGCAGCCGGATGTCTAGACGATGTCACCCGGAGGGTAAAGAAGGAATGATTTGATGGATACATTGATCTCGATGCAGAGCGACGCGGCGGTTCCTGGACATGAAATTGACGTTGGGATTGGACACGAGAGAAAGATCAGGAGTTAATAGGATGAAAGAGTCGCAGAGGGAGACTGTCACTTACAACAGAACCATTCATGTAGATCACAATACCCTAACATACTAGAGCCGGAAAAATGAATTAGATGAGGGCTCAAGCGGCGGTGGCGTAATGTATTATTCTAACAACACATTTTAAGATGATAAGAATAGACTTTAGAGGCATAGACTCTCGCAAAAATGAGAGAACAAACATTTATAAATACCTAGACAGACACACTCACACATTTGTAGGAGCGAAGGCATAGGAACACCCCTGAAGCTAAAATATGGACACACGAGGAGACATGACGAGGTCAAAATACAAAATATAATTGTATACACAGAGAGAAGAAGGCAGAGAAAGGAGTTACATGCGTCCGTCTCGTCCATCAGACATATTTATCTTATTGGTCAGCCCGCACCACAGCATCCTTGTGTCTCTTGGTCGCCAGAATCTGTTCGCGCCAGAGCCAGAAAAGACCAAGCAAGGTGCCGTTGCCTCCCACGATCAAGATGGATACAGCGCAGAGGGCCAGGACAGGCCAGGATGACAGACAGAGACCGCCGCCCACCGCCATGCCTGCGGCCTTGAGGTCCCATGTTAGGAGTGCCATGCAGACCAGATTGGCAAGGGTGAAGAGGACGTGAGATGGGGTTGTTGTGCTAGTTTCGAAGATTGCGTAGAGGATAGATCCGGTGGTAGTTGAGATGCTGCTGGACCAGAGGTTGTACTGCCATAATAGGGCTGAGATGGCAGAAATGGTCCAGAGAGTGTGACGGAGAGTGGGCAGGTCGCGGGTCACGTTTGACAGGCGGTCGGAGAGGATGGTGCTAGGGGGGAGGATGTGGGTGGTTAGGAGGTGTTGGGTGAGGGAGGCGAGGAGGGGGAAGAGGGCTGAGATGTAGATGGGGGAAGGGGATTGTGATGATGGCGATGATGATGTATAGTAGGTGAGAGCTAGGAATACGAGAAAGGTGGGGAGGACGGTGGTTGCATAGGAGATGTTGGTTAGGCGCATGTCGGATGCTTTGAAGGTTGCTATGGGGGTGAGGATGTAGAGGATGGCGAAGTAGAATGGGATGGTGACGGTGGGGTGGTGGATGGCCAGGATGCCCCAGATGAGAGCGCTTGTACCATGGGAGTGAGTTGTTAGTTCCAGTACTTGTTTCACCGGATAGGATATTGGGGGAGGTAACTTTGAGACTGTGGAAACTTACAAGCGCAGGATGTTATAGTGGTTGGCCCGCCGTGCTGACTCAATGAGCATGATGGCATAAAAGACGCCATAGCTGGCAACAAGACCCCTTTCGGGTTGGTTGAATTCTGCTCCTGGCACCATGTTCTTATCCGCCCAAGCGGCAGCCAATAAGAGTGGCAATGCTAGTAATGCCCGTATCCAGACTCTCTCGTGGTTCTCAAAGCCCTGTGAGGGGTTATAAGGCATGTTTCCGGCCAGGGATCGTGGCGGGACGGGAAGATAGTCGATCCGGGGGGCGCCAACTTGCACGTCAGAGGATATGTTGATGGGGAAATCGCCCATGTATGGGTAGAAGTAGTTGACGATGAAGCGTTCCTTGAATCCCACCAGAGCTTGAATACGCGTCACGAAGGCAGACGTCTTTATGAACTCTTTGGCGCGGGGATGCATGCGGCGTTGGAATCTCTGGAAGGATTCCTGTACCCGTCTCGTGGTGAGCTGGTGCGGCGTTGACGTGTTGGCTGCGAGTCGATACAGCTCGTTAGCCAGAGCAGCCGCAGACTCCATAGCCAGATTTCCACCACTTCCATTGTTAGGCGTCATCTTGTGGACAGCATCGCCCAGGCATACGATGCGCCCGGCCGTCCAGTGGGCGAAATCGCCCTCCTCGAGGGCGATCAGAGTTGCATGTTCCCTCGCCTCCCATAAGTGGCCGAGCTTGACGAGCCCCTGGGGTCGGATGGCGAGCTGGCTGTGCTTTTTGGCGAAAGCCT